ATTTTGGATTGAAATTACTTGAGAGGCATTTGTTTTTTAATGTAACCAGTACAGTTCTCATTGGACAGAAGCCAATCATGCATTTTCATGACTCACGGAATATTCCTCGTCCTGCAGGTCCTGCAACACCCCATCTCCAACCTTCAGGGGCAGCTTTTGGGGCCATGGAGGGATTGGGACTGTAGGGATTGGAGGGAGGGCGAGGACTAGTCCCATTGCATGAAAGGAGATAATATTTCAATAATCAGATTTAATAATCAGATTAAGTACAATCTATTTTAATAATAAGTTTGCTGACCATATCTTTACACTGAGAAGGTTTCTATAAAAGGTATTAATATGAAATGAATATAACAAGTTTAGAATGTTTATATAAAAAATGTTTCCCTGGAGGTAGCCGTTTATTTCTTAGTTGTTCACCCCTCCCTTCTTTGGTTTTAATTTGAACCAAAATTTCTACCTTCAAGGATAGACATTGTGATTGTTTTTGACTTTTCAAGAGCTTATGCATGTGTGGCTTCCTCAGAACATGCTTTGACTGATTGGAGAAATCAATCAGTTGAGCACTGTAAAGCTGATTCATTCCCTAGGGCACCTTCTATGTACTCCAGACACTAAAACATGAGCTGGACCTCAATGTCCTTTGTTAATTCTACATACATAATTTTTCAGTGATTGTATGACATATATAATACATTTTTGTCACAGATCCTGCTGTTTTGTTCTATTTAAAAAAAAAAAAAGGAATGCTAGGTTATTCATAGTAAAATCTTCACAGGGCTTAACTCCTTAAACTCTAAAACATGAAGACTACTACTACTACTATTACTAGTACTACACCCCCTTTCCGCCTCCTCCTGCTCCTCTCCCTTCTTTCCTTTCCCAGTTCCTTTCCTTTCACTTTTCTATTCAAGAAATAATTTAAGAATACAAAACATATGTATACTTCCACACACAAAAGGAGAAATACAAATATGTTGAATATCCATATCCTTAATGGCATTTAGACTGAAAAAAGAAATATATTAGGAAAAGCATTGTTATTATATCCAATAAATTCTGATCAGATATGAAAAAATTCATCCTTCATTAAATGGTTTTTAAAAGTGCTTTTTTGTGTTAATTTTTCAGTAGAAAAAAATTACATTAGTTTATACATTTAGGAAATATGGACAGCAGAATTAATTATGGACCTTTGATGGTGATTTTCCCAATTTCTTCAAAAGTGTTAGGCTAAAAGGATGGGCTAACTTGGGTATAGTACCACAAAAGTTTGTATTGCAACCCAATTTTCTTAGAACACCATGTAATTCAGAAAAATTACAATTTATATAGAGTGCCATCTATGGATTATTTTCATGGTTAAACCTTGATGACATTGAAATAATTGTTAAAGGAAATGTTTAAAAAGGAGTTTTAGCACAGAATATTAGAAAGAAGGATATGCAAGAAATGTTCAATATTCTTGGAGTTCCAGGGAGATTCATCAAATCCCAAGTCATCTTCCATAGGTTTTTAAAACCTTTCAAGAGATTCTGTCATGCTTATTATAAGAGTTTAATATAATATTGATGAGATTCCCTTGTTATTAAATAATATAAATGTGCACCATTCTTCAACATGGTTAATGCTCTTGATAAGATATGGATAGTTTACATAGAAATGTAACCTATCTCACTTGTACCTGACTTGTTTGAAATCAAGCTGGAACTTGACCAATCCTTTTGCAAAATATATTCTGCAGAGACAGAGTTTTCATCAATAATTGAGTATCTAATTTTACAAAATCCAGTTATCTTCACATTCTTTGTATTGTACAGATTTATCTTAATGGGAACACTCAAGGAATGGGAAAATGGGAGAAAGACAGGGGCCAAAAATCATGTTCATCATTTCTATACTTCTAAAGTAAGTGCTGAAGATGATTTGAGAGAGCAGGCATTGTTTTCTAAATCCAAGGAGGAATAGTATCATCCTTGATTATTAGTTCAGTGTTAAGTCATCACTTAACAATATTCAAATTCCTAATGATATGAATTGTCTTAATTGAAAGACTTGAAAATGATGTTTCAAATTTGCTGTGTCATCCTTTTTTATATTATATTATTTATCCTAGCTTTTTAAATAGTTCTATACAGTTATATATAAATGAAGAAAACATTATTTGCCAAATATGAAACCAAGTTGTAGGAAGTACAGCTGGGAATGTGTGAAGCAGAAAGAGATTTTTAAACAGTAATTTTACTTGCAGCTGTTCTACCAAGGAATGACAAAAGATGTCACCATGACTTCCAATCTTGTGCAAAACAGGGTTATAATTACATTTCTTTAATTGGTGCCAATCTATTGTAATAATTACTTTTAAATACCTAAATTTATCTAGACTGATATAAATTCTGCTAACTTCATGAAGCTGTTTTTGTGGGGGTATATCAGAGTTAATTTATAATCCCAATACTGCATAAAATATATTTAATTTAAATTGCAGTTGAGTGTTTTCTTTAAAATCAATTTGGTTGTTTAAGAAAAATGAACAGATTAATTATAATTACATGATCTGTTTTTACATTAAGACTTGAATATTCTTCTTTTTAATATCTTGTGCTAATACTTCTATAATAACATGGAACAAAATAGGAGATGTTAGGTGTCCCTATTTATCTGAAAATAATCCATACCCAATCCATTGATGGTAATTACTGTTTGTGCATGTGAATATAGCTGCTTAATTATAGAAATATCCAAATCCCATTTCCAAACAATTTTAAGTAAATTTACATTTGTTTCTGTCAAGTACTGAAAACATCTAAAGACAGCAGAATGAATAGAAATTTGGTATATTTAGCATAGTGTATTACATTTAATACTTTTCTAATTGACTCTCCTATATTTCTTTTAGGAAAAAACTCAGATTGAACAGGACATATAATTACTTGCAAACATATTTAAAATTGTAACAAATAATCCAGTTATGTTTTAAATCTTGATTTAACAATGCAGATGTAGACCTGTACAATGACATCTGCCTAAAGTCTTTATTTAATTTGGGAATAATTGGAATAATTTATTTGATTTTGGAATAAGATTTGTTTCCAAGATGCTGGAATACTGTAATAGGTTCCTATTATATATTATTACACAGTTGACCCAGATATGGTATTTATTATTTTTAAATAATAATTGCACTATTCATGTCCAAAATCATACATATTTGGAATTTCAACATTTAATGTATTTCTTATGACAACATCTATTTTATTTTACTTGTCTGTTTGCTTGTTAGTTAAGATAATCTTTTTGCTTGTTAATTAATTGAGTTCAATGATTATCAGCCCTCCCAGGTAAACCAGACAGGAAACATGATTAGATGAGCTAATTCTACTTTATTGTAAGACTATATTAACAGAAGCTTCCAAGTCTGAAAGTACAAATCTCCTGCCCTCCCTATTTACCGCCTGAGTAGTTAGGGCGGGTCCTTTCTAAGTTTCTTTTTCTGGCTGTTACTGTGTTGCAGGCTCCTTTCTCCTTTATCTGATCATTCCCTAAGTGGCATCTCTTCCCCCTGTCTTTCAAGGTCAGCCTCACATTCCATCACATAACCCTCCCCTTCAGACTCATCCCCCACTCTCAAGGTCCCAGGGGAAACAGGCTGTGGACTGTGAGAATGAAATGCAGCTGTGTCACTCTCCCCTTCTGGTAACTCCCTGAGATCACACAATGCTTCCCATAACCATCTGCTCTGGCCAAGGTGACAGCCACCTTTCCCTTGGGAATCTGTTGGCTTACCCCGCTCCAGCCCTGCATGCCTGATGTGGGACGAGCTGATTCATTTCCCCCTACTCAGTCTCTTGCTGTTCCTGAGGCACTCTCCACCCCCTAGAAAAACTCTTCCTGCTTGTCTTGGTCAGTGCCTGACTCTTACAAGGTCAGTAGTTGCCAAGGATGGGGTTTCCTGGGATACTATTTGTGAAAGCAGGGCACCAATTGTGCATGCACCAATTGTGGTGCATGCATGTCAGTTGCTGGCTCCCATGATCTTTCTAGTATATCAGGTTCTTGACCCACTGTGATGGAATGTATCTATGAGGAGGAGAGTGATGTGGGAGATCAAGGCTATCAGGAAGGAGGGGGTGCATTCCAGGAGGGGAAAGGAAACAAGAGGCAACACAGTCCTCAGGGTGAGTGTGAGAAGAGTAAGAGACTCAGGATAGCCACTTCCTAGAATCTCACAGGGTATATCCACTAC